GGCTGGTTGGCTGCTCAATCGACCCTTCCTGATGGACAGTTCTGGATCTGAGCTGCATCCACGGTTAGCCAGCCTCCAGAGGCAAAGGACAACATGGAAAACGTCCTCTCTTGCTCCCTTACTTTTTCGATAGCTTAACAACGGTACAGCTCCCTGCATCGTATCCAAGGGCACTGACGAGCTTGGGGAGGCAGCAGGATACAGAATGCACCGTTGTCTCCCCCAACCCTCACTTGTGTCTCCCCCCTTCCTCGTTCACTCCCCCCCCCCATATCTGACACTTGGGCGGGCTGCCTAACAGTAGGGCTCACTATGGCTGCATCAAAGAAGATGAACAGAGCGGTACTACTGTCACGAGTGGCCTTAATCCTGTCTGAGGCACAGTCCCATCATGGCACTATCCTCCCTTGCTCCATATACAATAGGATGGTAAAGCAAGCTGCAACTTCTTTGGGACCAGATAGCAGTTGCTCATCTTGGACAGCAAATCCAGATTAAAAAGCACTTACTTACAGTGGTGCCTCGCTAGACAGTTACCCCGCATGACAGTTTTTCGCTAGACATTGACTTTTTGCCATCGCTATAGCGATTCGCGAAACAGTGATTCCTATGGGGGCATTTCGCTGGACAATGTTTGGTCCCTGCTTCGCAAACCGATTTTCGCTAGACGACGATTTTGACAGCTCCCTCCGCGCTCGCAAAATGGGTGTTTTCGGGACCTAAGCTTCGCAAGACAGCGATTTAAACAGCTGATCGGTGATTCACAAAGCGGCTTTCCTATGGCCGATCTTCGCTAGACAACGACAATTCTTCCCCATTGGAACGCCTTAAACAGGTTTCAATGCATTCCAACGGGGAAATGCTTTTCGCTAGACAATGATTTCGCTAAACAGCTATTTCAGTGGAACGGATTATCATCGTCTAGCGAGGCAGCACTGTACTGACTTATTTATCCTGTCTTTCTCCTTGAAAAGACCCAAGGTGGGGTTCCTGTCCCTAACTGCTCGGCCCAACTCCTCTGCCTTGCTAAAATGCAAGACTGGGGATTTTGAAGGACGCAGGAGCTAATTTTCTTGTCCAGGGACCTCGTGTGGGCTGCGTCAGGCCTGGAGCTTTGAGGAGGAAAGGTACTTTCCACAATTATGTCATTCTGCTTCCATGGGGAGGGTGGCTACCATTCGACAGTGGCCGATCTCGTCCTGGAGGCTACCAGGAGAAGAAAAGGGCCTTTTATGGACCCGTCATCTTTTTACCTGCAGCTCAAAAAAACCAAAAAAAACAAAAAGGATTGTGAGACTGTACTGTCCCATCCCTGGCTTGATCATCTTTTTACCTGCAGCTCAAAAAAAAAAAAAAAAAAAGGATGGTGAGACTGTACTGTCCCATCCCTGGCTTGAAAGGCACAGTGGGTCTTTTCCCATGATGGCTCCTGAAAACAGATGGAATGGCTGGTCCCGGGTAGAGAGTCAGATTCCCTTCTGTCCTCTTGGGTAGGGAAGAACTGGTTCGAAAAGCCAGTCTTCCCCATCCTTCTTGGCTTGGTCTTATGAGGGATATGGAACAGCTAGCTGGCTCGCTCAGCAAGTGAGATGTCCAGCTGCAGAGCCAGAGGACATGAGTTCCAATTCCCCACCATGCGTCCCAGAAGAGCCAGACTGGGTAGCCTTGGGCAAACTGCACAGTCCCAAGATGCTCTTGGAAGGAGGGAACAGTCAACCACACTTGAGTACTCTCTGCCTAGAAAACCCTGGAAAGAGTCATCATCAGTCAGAACTGATGACACACAATTACAGTGGTGCCTTGCATAACGAGCACACCGTGTAACAAAGAATCCGCATAGCGATCTATTTTTTGGGATTGTTAATTCGATCGCATTATGATGTTTTAATAGCCTAAACATCGCATTGCGATGATCAGTAAGCGTTTTGCTTACCGATCTTCGCATTGCGATGTTTGCGGAACAGCTGATCGGCGGTTCGAAAATGGCCGCCGGGTGCCCAAAATGGCCGCCGCAACCATTTTCGCACAATTTCCTCACTTACCGAGGTGGCGAAAATGGCGGCGCTATGGAGGATCTTCGCATAACAGTGAGTTTTCACCCCACAGGAATGTGCGTTTCTATGGGTTTCCCCCCCCCCGCATTGCGATGTTTCCGGATAGGGATGATTAATCCGGAACGGATTAACATCACTATGCAGGGCACCACTGTATTATGGAGCATCTACAACTCAGAAAAAAAGAGCTCAGAAGAATGATAAGCTCTTGAAAGCAGCCTTGAAGTCCGTAGGGTAGAGGTCTACTTCCATCCAGAAAGGCAGAGAAGGGGTGTGATGCAGGGCTTAGAGTAAAGGGCTAGGATGTGGGCGGTCCAGGTTCAAGTCTCCAGTCAGGAAACTCACTAGGTGACATGCGGTCTGTCACTCACAGAGTTACTGTGAGGGCAAGAGGAGGAGGAGGAGAACCGCAGTCACTGCCTGCAACTTATTGGAGGAAAGTGGGGCTATAAGTAGAAAGAATAATTCAATTAACGTAGATGGCAACAGGGCTCTGAATTGTTTCAACTGAACTTAAACTACCCTGTTCCCCCGAAAATAAGGTAAAGGTAAAGGTTCCCCTTGACTAATTGTCCAGTTGTGCCCGACTCTAGGGGAGTTTCCAACCCACAGAGCCAGCATTTGTCCGAAGACACTCTTCCGTGGTCACATGGCCAATGTGACTTAGACACAGAACACTGTTACCTTCCCACCGAGGTGGTCCCTATTTATCTACTTGCATTTGCATGCTTTCAAACCGCTAGGTTGGCGGGAGCTGGGACAAGTGACGGGTGCTCACTCCGTCGCGCAGATTTGATCTTACGACTGCTTGGTCTTCTGACCCTGCAGCACAGGCTTCTGCGGTTTACCCCACAGCGCCACCACGTCCCTCCGAAAATAAGACCTAACCTGAAAATGAGCCCTAGTAGGATTTTTCAGGATGCTCGTCATATAAGGTAAAGGTAAAGGTTCCCCTTGACAAATTGTCCAGTTGTGCCCGACTCTAGGGGAGTTTCCAACCCACAGAGCCAGCATTTGTCCACAGACAATCCTCCGTGGTCACGTGGCCAGTGCGACTAGACACGGAACGCCGTGACCTTCCCACCGACGTGGTCCCTAATTATTGACTCGCATTTTTACATGCTTTCGAACGGCTAGGTTGGCGGGAGCTGGGACAAGCGACGGGGGCTCACTCCGATGTGTGGATTCGATCTTATGCCTGCAGGTCTTCTGACCTCGCAGCACAAGAGGCTTTTGCGGTGCGGTTTAACCCGCAGTGCCATCACATCCCTCACTCGTCATATAAGCCCTACCCCAAAAATAAGCCCTAGTTAAGTGAAATCCTGACCTCCACTGCTGTGCAGCAGCCAGAAGATGACAGGACTGCATTTGAACAAATGTAGATTGTTGTACATGAAAAAATTAAAACACCACCTGAAAATAAGCCCTAATGCATTTTTGGAGCAATAATTAATATAAGGCCCTGTCTTATTTTCGGGGAAACACGGTAAAAGGGATAAAGACAAACCAGCCAGGGACCCTGTGTGATTCTCCCATCTCTACACTATCCTATGCAGCTTGGGGGTGCTCCTGGATTCACGGTCCAAAATGCAGCAGCCACATTGTTGACTGATGCTGGTTTATGGATCACATCACTCAAAACACCCCTGTTACAGCAGCTGGACTGGCTGCTGATCCCTGTCCGGGTGGCAATTCAAAGTGCTGGTTTCAACCCACAAAGCCCTTAACTGCTTGGGCCAAAACAATCTCAAGGGCTGCTTCTCCCTTGATGAGCCTGCCCAGGTAATAAGATCATTAAGAGAGACCTTCCCCTCCATCCCACCACCTTCACAGGCACAATCGGTGAGGACACGGAAGAGAGCTGCTCCCAGACTTTGGAACTCCCTCCCACTGGAGGCCAGTCTGGCCCCATCTTTGCTGTCCTTCTGCAAATGGACATGAGCTCTCCTTTTCAGGCCGGCGCTCCCTAAGCGACTGATTGTCTAGGAGAGATTTTTAAATGGGGTGCATTTTCTTGCTTCTAGATGTGTTTTTCAGAAATGCCTTCCACCTTACCTTTTGAATATAATGTTAACTCATTCTTTTTTTAATACTGTATTTGAATCATTTACCGTTTTAAAGCTTTTAATAGTATACTTCTATACTGCCTTGAATTCTTTTTTTTTAGGAGAAAGGTGGGGTAGAGAATATTTAAAATAAATAATTTTCTAACTTTTAGGGAGAATCTCAGCTAGCAGTTAGCAGGGGGAAAGGAACCATCCAGAGGGTAGATAACAGTGGCAACAAATTCTCACCCCCCCTACCTGCCCAGTAAACCCACATTCTGGCTGACATATGTTGGCCAACACTTGTATTCACTACCCATTTCAAGTGGGAGACACCATTATATGCCAGCTGGTAGATGAGTCCCCTAAGAACCCGTTCAAAGCAATTAACGAAGCAAACGGCACAAGACTGTTAATAATCGGATCATAAACATAAGTCACACAGTTCATCAAAAGCTCTGCAGCAACGGAAATGGAAACACATTTTCTTTTATATTCTCTTTCTGTCTCTGGTGCATGCTTTTCTTTCTAAGAAGCATTCATGTAAAAACAGCGATATATATATTCATATATATATTCATATTCATATATATATTCATATTCATATATTATATATATATTCATTCTCATATATATATATGCGCTGCAGAAGCAAGAGATTTAGGCAATGTTAGAAAACAACGTTGGATGAGAGAGTTGGAAGCAGATGATAAGAGAAAATCGGAGAGCGTGAATGAAAGAGAGAGAGAGAAAGAGGGATGAGGAGAAAGAAATGGAAATAGACGAAGAGAGAAAGAGGGAAAGGAAGAGGGAGAAGCAAGAGAGACAGTGAGAGATGGGGGGGGGAGAAGAAGAGAAGAAATTAAAAAACTCATTTCTTAAAAGAAACTTAAAACCATACCTTGGTTGTTTAACGTCAGGTGAGCCGGACCTTGAAGGGGAAGGAAAGGAAAAAAGAAAGAAAGAAAAAAGACGAGTCATATAAACGCACGGAAAAAAGGAGGGTCTTCCCCTCTTTGCCACAATTTAAAAGCTGTTTTTAACTTGTGACAGACATCCGGGTCCCCCAGCAGATAGAGAAGGGAAGGGGGTTGAGGGTCGGATGCCGAAATAAACAGAAAGGAGAGGAGAAGAAACTGAAAATCCCGGACAGAGCCAGACAAAACCAAGGCTATAACAAGAGGGGGGACAGAACAGAACAAAAAACAGAAAGTTTGGTATCTTTTTAAGATTTTAAAAAAAAAGCATTTTGGGCTGCCTTGCCCAGTGAGAGAAAATGCTTTTTTTTTCCCCTTAGAGTGAAAACAACAAAAAATCAGGGGTTGGGTGGGGGGTTCGGGAGGGGGGGAACCACACAAACCAAGCAGCCTTTGAGGGGAGAATGTTGAGTTTGCAGCAGGCTAGACTTGGCATGAGCGAAAACAGCTCCAGGAAGGAAAATTGTTAGTGGTGCAAAAGGAAAAAAAATGCTTTGCAAGAGCTCTCCTGGTGGAAGACACTTGGGGGGGCTGGAGGGCTGAAGATGTCCGGAAGGAGAGAGACCCCGGCGCCTTCAACACACCCAGGCGCCCATGGGATGGGGAAGGATTTCTCTCCCACTAGCTTGACAACACATTTTGCAGGGGCAACACACAACACCTCCCAAGATTCCATCAGCAGCGGCCCGAGAGACCTCGCAGCAGCCTCAGACGAAAGGATCTTTGGATAGACCCATCCAGATGAAGGGTGCGCAGAGTAGGGTGAGAAAATAATCATACCGCTTTGAGGAAGTCAGACCACCATCACCCCCTTCATCGGCCTCAGTATGACCTTACTGGAGATTCTCTGGATTGGACCTGGGGACCTCTATCAGCTAAGAAAGTTCCCCTAAAAATATAGCAAGATCCTGCTCCTCGTGGTTATAAATACAGTGGTGCCGCGCAAGACGATGTTAATTCGTTCCGCGGAAATTGCTGTTTTGAGAAAACATTGTCTTGCGAAATGCGGTTCCCTGTTGGAATGCATTGAAATCCATTTAATGCGTTCCAATGGGGAAAATAGTCATCGTCTTGTGAAAATTGCTCATAGGGTAAACCGTTTTGCGAAGCGCGGACCCAGCTGTCAAAATCGCTGTCTTGCGAAAATAGGTCCCTAAAAAAAAAGTTTTGTGAGTTGCGGACCTAGCTGTCAAAATCGTCGTCTTGCGAAAAACGGTCCCGGGGGGGAAAAAAGTCTTGTGAAACACGGACCGAAACATCGTATACTGAAAATAACGCATAGGGAAAACCGTTTTGAGAAGCGCTATAGCGATCGTAAAAACTCATCGTCTTGCAAATAAACCGTTTTGCGAGGTAATCGTCTAGCGAGGCACCACTGTAAATTGCTCATTTGAAAGGGGGATTGATAACCTGCCTCATATTGGATTGGACCATTGATCATAGGTGGGCCAAGTGAAGCGTCCCATTCCAAAATTTGGCCATATACTGCCACTGACCCCTCTAACTGGACATGGTCTCTGGACAGTCCCTCTGGAGAATGTGCATCAATGTAAAGCCAAACCTGCTGACTGTGGATGGGGGTTCCTCTTGGCACCTTCTACATTCAAAGCAGATGTTGCCCCCTTTTCCAACACCAGGAGTGTAGGAGAGGCTCTAAATGTGAGACCTAATAATGGCACCTAATAGGCAGGTGTTGGATCCAGGGTATTTCCACCCCCAGAGTTTGGATCCGGGGTATTTAACCACCACCACCGGAGTTTGGATCTGGGGTATTTCCCCACCCCCACCCCATCTGGAAATGCTAGGTACTGAAGCTACCCACGTGCATACCACAAAGCTATGCTCTCTCCCCTGAAATGGTAAGACTCTCAATTTTTTTCTGTCACTGGCTGATCATTTTGAATGGCTGACCCTTTTGAACGTCTATTGTCATAATTGATCTACAGCTGCTGTATGAACCCCTCTCTGAAAAGACAGCAGAACTACCTCCATCTTTATGCATCGTCCTCGGGTCAACCGCACATTATTATCATTTTATTTTGTAACATTTAATTGGGATTAACTACCAACAGGTCAGAACACCTCATTCCGCTTTCACGAACAACAGCTGAAAGCGCAAGACACACATTTAGTCAGCAAATAAAGTAAATAAATACATGTGCATTGAAAAGCTGAGGACAAGATCCCGAGAGCAAGAGAGACAGAAAGGTAAACAGCCACCCATCTAGTCACCTGGGGCGAGCAACCAATTGCTCCAAGCGATCCATCAGGAAGCTCAATCTGACTAATACCAGCAGACGTAACCCAGACAAACAACTTGAAAGGTTAATTTGTAAGGATTTATTTGAAAGTTTGGATTGAAGGATGTTTAAGGTAAGAGTGTATTCTCCTGGAGCAACGACGTGCCCCTTTTACCCAGGAACCTCGTTCTATTTAGAGGAGCGCATCTCAGCATGGAGCTGGGTGAAAGGCAGATATTTCTCTTCTACTGCATCCTTGGCTTCTGCGTGCAGTAAAGCAAAGTGCAACCCCCCCCAACACACACACACACCACAAGCAGCACATATGCAGTGAGCAGCCAGAAGGGGGAGGTAGGGCCGGTCATTGCATGTACTCTCCCCCCCCCGCTGAAAAATGCAGCTGGCATCAAACTAAGACGCCATTGCAATTCTTGCTATGCCACCCATTCTGTCACCATTCATCACCATGTCATCTTCAGACCCGGGCGCTGGCAGCTGTTTCCGAAAAAGCACCCAATTTCATGCAAATGAAGGCTTCTCCCTCCTCTCGACCAAACACACAAACACACACACACACACGCTGATACCAATCACTCTGTCAAGCAGCCACGGCCTCCGAGTGGAGGCATTTGCCTGTTCTACACGCCGACGTAGAAAGATGCGCAGATCGGCAAAAATGTACGAGACCTGAAAATACATCGATAGACACACACATGGACGGATCTTGCTTCTGATGACACCGGGGTGGGCCCATCTGTCTGCCTGTCCATCTCCTCTGTCATTTCTTCTCTCTTTCCAAATCACCCCAAAACAGTCCCTCCTTTCAAAAATCCCGTAAACCTGTAGCACTGTTGTTCCCTCCATTTCACAATACCTTTGCTCCACCAACCACACCCCTTATTTCAGAAGGTCCTGCTGCTCAGTCCTTGACTCATGGTGTGATGCTTCAAAGCCAGGCAGCTCTGTTCTGCCACCCGGAAATGCTAAGTCCTAAAACCAGACCAGCTGTGGGCAAGCAGAGATTTGGGGTCAGAACACTGCGTTTTAGAAGGAATACCAGCGCTCCAATCCTGCGAGCAATTGTTTTGCTCGTTATTAATGCAGTAATTAAAAAAAAACATTAACCAAAAAAACCCCCCAAACCCAATAATTCTGAGGAAAACTGAAGGCAGCAGGAAAAGATTGTCTTCTAGTTGCATAAGCTGTCTTGGGTTCTTTTTAACGAGAAAGGCAGGTTAAAATGCAATCAATCAATCAATCAATCAATCAATCAATGGATGACCAACAATTCAGATGGACTGACTCCATAAAGAATGCTGACCTCTGAAGAATGGATGCTTTTGAATTGTGGTGCTGGAGGAGACCCTTGAGAGTCCCCTGGACTGCGAGGAGAACAAACCTATCCGTCCTGAAGGAAATCAACCCCGAGTGCTCACTGGAAGGACAGATCCTGAACCTGAGGCTCCAACACTTTGGCCATCTCATGAGAAGAGAAGAGTCCCTGGAAAAGACCCTGATGTTGGGAAAGTGTGAAGGCAAGAGGAGAAGGACGAGATGTTTGGACAGTGTCACCGAAGCGGTCAACATTACTTTGACCCAACTCCGGGAGGCAGTGGAAGACAGGAGGGCCTGGCATGCTCTGGTCCGTGGGGTCATGAAGAGTCAGGCATGACTTAACAACTGAACAAGAAAGACTCCATCAAGAAACCCTTAGCCTTAAGTTTGCAGGAACCAGGCAGGGCTGTTGAGGACATGACATTTTGGAGATCACTCATTCACAGGTTCGCCTTAAGTTGGAGACAACTTAATGGCGCATAACAACAACAGGAACAATTTTAGCATCTAGAACTTTCCTGATCTATTGATTGGATTATGACAAACTGACATACGTGAGGATAGGATGGAGGAATTTCAAGGAGTATCTATATCTGAATGTGCAACAGCCACATTCGTTCTGCTCTGACACAACTATTTTATGCTTCTTTCTGCCCAGTGAGGAGCAGCTGGAAGCAATATCCAACATTCCTGGGTTGGTTATATCCATGCCCTTCCTGCAGCAAACCACTGCAGTCTCTTGGTTACAGTACAGAACAACAGATCAATTAGTTCACCTTAACAATAAGTCAAAAAAAATTCAAGGAAATACTCTTGTGTTCTATCTAGTGGTGATTTCTGATATTATAGCCTAGAAATATTTATAAAAACAATGAACACAAAACCAATGAATACTTTCTTCCTTGCCACTTAAGGAAAACCTAGGAAAATACAGTCAAATTGCACTAGGATGCTTTAAAATACCCTTTAAATTATTCTTTCAAACTAACTAGGAAGAGTTGCTTGTTATACCAAAAAGTAACTTGGTAACTATAAGTTACATGACTTGTTACCTCCCAGAGAAACTCTGTTGCTTGTACCTATGTAATTACTTGCAAGCTCTGCCAAAGGTACATATAATGTATGTTCAAAAGCATTATTTCAAAATTTTCAAAGTTTTGAAATTTTCAAACACATGAAATCTGTCAGCTTAGTTTTCACTGAAAAATCCACTGCCATTCTGATCCTGGCACTGTGAGGCTGTGGGGCTTCCTTTTCCCCATATGAACATTTGTGCGCATGTTTAATATGCATTTCCCCCTAACATACACATTTCCCCCACTGACTGGAGTGTTTTGTGTGCCTCTTTTTCCTGCACAGTTTTCGTCATGTACCCTTTT